AGCAAAAGTCCGAGGGGACCGCCAAGATTAACCTGGTGCAATCATATGGAAGGAATCTGTTCCAGGCTGCATTTGTCTTTTGCCGCAGCTCAGACGCTGGCACAAGATCGGGAACGTTGGAAGCACTGTTTGTCGCGTGTGCCTCCGTGATCCGAAGTGAGAAGCGGCGATGGTAGATGAAGATGAAGATGAAGAACGGATGACAATCAGTGTGGATAATAGGAATAAACGGAAATTGGTTATTTTGATGGAACGTTCTGGCTTCTGTTCGAAAAGCGCTGCGAAACAGGCTGAATGAATGATTCTAGAAAGATAATAGAAAGTGGAATTTAAATCCTTCTCTCTTTTGGATTATCAAATTATAAACATTTCGATGAAAAACTAACCGTAAAGAAGCTGAAAGCCGATTTTCCCATCCTCTAAATGGTCGATTGTTTTCCTTAACTACGTATGCAGAACCTCAAACAGATTCTCTGCTTTTATTTAGGAAATTGCTTCGCAAATTCATTATTTATTAATGCAACCAATATCATAGATTATATCTTTACTTTAGCCATTTTTACCAGAAAATGCTTGAAATTTGGAAAAACGGTTCATTCTGTTACAGGCAAATGGCAAAAATTGTAAACACAGCTCCAGTTAGTAATGTGAGAAATCCCTCAGGAATGTGCAATGAATGGCCGACAACTGGGGCTAATAATATATTCAAGCAATTGTGTAGAGATCAGTGTCAATATTAATGAAAAGAAAAGGTGATCTCACAAGCGTGTATTCAGTTCTGCCAAGCATGTGTATAACTAAATGCTTTCGCAAGTGAAAAGCTTTATATCCATGCCCAGAACTCAGAATTTCAGTGATTGGTAAATGTAATCCAGGTGTTATAGACAAATCGCTAGTCGAATTTGTTTGATAAAAAAACGTAAAAGACAACCAACAGACAAATATGACATAACTAGGATTGATCCTGCCGATGAGACGAATTTGCTCAGTTTTGGCATCCTAGAAATTGAGCTTACATTTTGGCGGAGGATTAGGGCATTGGAAGAGAAAATGGCAGCTGTAAAACAATTGATAATTTATTTTTGATGAGTGAGCT